CTCTCTGTGCCCAGGGGACACAGGGGGACATACTGGGCACAGAGAGAACTGCTCCTGTCTGTGCTCCTGCCCTCTGAAGATGCCAGTCACAGATGCTGGCGAAACATTAGGAAACAAAACTTCCAGAACACGGCCCCACAGCCCAGAAGACCCACACCAGCCATCGTATGCCGGCCGTGAAAGCCTTCGACAATACCTTCCATTTCTCTTTCATTATGTGGAGTCCCTGACTCCAGACTGATTAAGCTTGAAACAATATTGTACAAATATAGTTCTACTTCAGAACCTGCACCCTATTATTTTATGAACATTAAGCTGGCTAATGAAAATAATGCCTGATGTGGGTACAGGAATGGGTGTCCTGGCTTTTCGTGTGGCTTGCAGCTGCCTTAATCAAGCGCTGACACTATCCAGTGTTAATAAAATCCTTTCTGATTCACAAGCTACAAAAGAGAAAGTCCTTTTTCTCCCACCTTTCTTTTCCTATGGGGGGAAATGGCCACCCCTCCATTCTCTCCTAACTTGGAGCCAAATGACTATAGAGAGCTCTGATCTTAAAACCATAGCACTGGAAGAGGCAACTGAAACCAGGGATCTCCAACCTCCAGACCATGGGCTGCCTGCAGGCCTCCGGATCCTTTTCTGCAGCTTGCAGCAACACATTTTATAAGAGCTGAAGACACTGCCTAGCAAGATCAAAGCCCTGAGTGCTGCACCAACCTGCAGACTGGGCCACCGGAAACACTGAGAGGAGGGGAGCAGCCTAACGGTTCTTCTCAACTAAGCCAGCAGATTCCCTGAAGCAGCCAAGTTCACTAGTCCAGATTTATTCTGTACTTGAAAAATCTGAAAAATCTTCCAAGGAAGCCTCAGGTGGAGCACAATCTGGATAATTAAATCACTCAACTACCATCACCAACTTGTCTTCTTCCTCTTCTTTTAAATAAGCTAGGAAAAGAGTAACTGGAATGCTCAACTTTTTCTCCATCAGAATAATCCACAAAACTGTCATGAGTCTACTGTAGAAATGAGGGGAAGGGGAATAGGTCCTTGATAAATCACTTGCACTTTTTTCATTGTAAGATTAAACTCATTTTCAGAGTGATTTAGATCCAGAAATTGTGCAAAGGATTAAATTATTCCTTTAAGTCCAATGGCTCAGATCAAAATCTATACCCCACCCCCCGAACTGCTTTGAAGTAAAGATCTGGCTGGACTCCACCACCCCATGAATAGATTATCATCCCTGGAGTGTGGCTGCCCTGAAATCAAAGAGGGTTGCCAATTTTCTTTCCCTCATTGGGTTCAACACAGCTGGAAGTATGATTTCCAAATGGGGAAAGACTTCTCTCTTCCAGCACTTTTTTTCTACTGAAGATTTCAACCTCTATAGTTCCTTTATGTAAGTCATCGGGGAAGAACTACATATAATTAACATTGCCTTGAGCTAGCGTCTTTAACTGCTGCCCCATTAGGGTAGGGTTTGTGAGCACTGGTGACTAACTTTGATGTAAGCTAGTGGATGTGCAGAGGCTTATCTACTGCACAGTAATTCCAGATTTATGACTTCGCTGGAAATATATGCTGTTAATGAATTTCTGCTCTTGGCACAATATTGCCACAAAGACAGCAGTCCTGTGATTGGAGGGCTCCAAATGCCCTCCACCAGCAAACGGACAGGACAGAAGGAAACTCTTTGCTGCTCTTCCTGTTGTTTTTTTGCCACGGATTTAGTTCTTGTGATTTTGGAGGGTGTGGCCGAAGAACGGGGGTGGCGGGTGCTTGGCCTGCATTCGATCACACACACAGAGTTGGGATTCCCAGCTTTGAACAGTGGCAGCTTTGGAGACCAGTAGGGAAAGGGAAGTGAATCTGCTATCAGCTTGTACTTTTCAAGATCTCTGCTCTCAGAAGGGGAAATCCAGTATATCTTAAGGTTCCTAGGACTCTGTCTCCAAGGCCTAGAATTGCACCAAGAGAGCCAACCATCAGCGGCCCAAACAGGACTACGCTTTAGTTATCAGCAAGTTAGTAACATTAAGTTTGCAGACATTGAGAAGCTGGAGGGGTTAAGATTTTAGTCCAAGAGTAGACTGAATCAAGAGATGGCATGTGTCTGCTGTCCTTTCACCCACTTGACGCTCAAAAAGGATGCCTTGCCATGAAGCTTTTCTTGCGCTGTGGAGGAAGCGGAAGGTTGGAGATTGTTGATTCTGCTGCAGCTTTGGTGACCTTTTCTTGGAGGGTGGTCCTTGGACACAAATACCAGAAAACAATAACCATCTTGCTTCGCCAGCACTGGGGGCTTGGAGGAAAAGATCCAGAAAATGAAAAATGGGTTGGAAAGTGGACTTCGAAAGCCACCCAGCAATCTTTCTTTCAGCAACAGAACACCGATGAAATATCAAGGAACTAGAAGAATTTGTCCTGGGGCACCTTAAAAGCAAAGAGATTTGTTTTCATTTCTTTGCTATCAAGCAAACCTTTCTGTTGCACAAGTAGAGTTGGGTTGGGCTATGTCTCAGTGTTTAGCATCCACCCTTTTCCTGTGGGTGGGAGCGTTAGAAAAAAAAGTATTGGGAAGAAATGGGGAAGAGATTTGGCTGCCCGGGCTGTTCTTGCCCATGCAGGTGTGCATAATGCGCAGGAATGCCAGACAGATCTGAGTCACAGGTAACCACCCCTCCATGCATACAACACACCTAAACACACCTGAGATAAAAAGAAAACTGTCTCTTTCCGACTTTACTTGCCTAATAGCTATTGGCACTGCTGCTAGCAACTCCTCCATTTACCCCGG